TCTTGTTCTTTTTTCTTATTTGTCTCCCTGATTTTGCCTTAATTGGTTTTGTTTCGCTTTTTCAACCGGATATTGGCGGACAAACGTGTGCCAAGCCTTGAATGCAATATCGCCATGTAACCCGGGTATGTGCAGCCTTCGGAAAGCACCAATAAAGAACTTGCTATGTGAGGTTGGCCGATTTTCCCCCACATCTGCCGTTGGATGTTATTACTGGGAATATTAATTTGACCCCCTGGCAATCCTTGGCCGATTGTATTGCAACCCTGATCTATGCGTAAGGGGTTTTCTTTCCTTCGCATGTACGTACACTCTTTCGAACTCGAACCCCTCTCCTAGAGGCGATCGTCTGTTCGACCTGCAGGGCCTTTGTGCATCTCAAGAGAATGCATAGGCCGCGGCATTTCAGCGCTCTCTGCAGACGCGTTTCCCCTTTACCTCGAAAGCCAATGTGAGCGTACAATTTGTGCACAGCCAGCCATCCAACTGGTTAGAGCGCCCCTAGTGGCAATGCGCAAAAGCGCGGGTCTGTGCTCCTTAGTGGTCAGACATTTATCGGCCCCACCAGTATGATACGGAGAGAACGTCTCAGAACAGAAAAACTCTCCACTGGCTCCCAGGACATGTAGATCGCTAGAGCCGCTCGGGACTGGGGAAGTCTCTCTTTGCAAAGGGTTTGGGCCGGGCTGTTGCTGCATCTTGGCTGCTGTAGTTTCGACGCTGCGACCATGGAGCCGTCCGATCAAAGCCAGGGGTACGCAAGCTCTTGACGTTAGCCGCATTGCCCTCAATGGAGCCCGGCTGGCTAGACATAGATGGCCGCGCGTCTCGATGCGGCCAGCCCCACAGCTTCAAAATGTGAGGTTTGGTAGTAGGACATGGGTTATTTCCGTATTTGTGCTTGATTAAAAGCGTTTTGCAACCTAATGCACTCTGCTGGCTCGGGTTCTGTTTTCTATTCTCGATCTCCGACCCTATATTCTTATCCCACTGTTCACGACTCCGTCTCGTTGGCAAACTTCCCGTGCAGTGCGGCTCTTATACGCCTCTCACAACGCCCCGGTGCTTGACCTCAGTTTCTAACGTGCCTTAACCTCTGGCATTCGTTGCTTTTTTGAGCCCGCCGAACAGGTTCCGAGGCGTGCGGAGTTCCGGTCGCAGCATCGACCTTATCACCGGACAACATCAAAGAGTATCGATTTGGTTTCGAGGAAAAGTTTGGAAGAGGCTGGATTCAACCACGACAAATCGCCCCGATGTCAATGTTATAGTGCATGCGACAACTAGAATAGCTCGCCCGACGAGTGGGAGGAAACGCTTTACAATCCTCGCCGAGGATTGTGGTCCTAAATCGACAAGATGAAACTCACTACAGCCATCGCCTTGGCGACTAGCCCGTTGTCACTTGGGGTCGCCGCGCTCGCTCTGCGAGAGACGAGCGGCAGCCCAGCTAGAGTTGTGTCGATGGAAACGAAGAGAGACAGGGTCTCAAATCCTCTAAAGCGTGATCGCTTAAGGAGGAGAGGAACGGTAGAGACAACCTTGGACAACGAGGTATGCAACTCCAGCGCCATTCTTTTAACCCCTTTGACTAGGGATCCGAACTAACAATCAGCCAGGAAACCTTATATTTTGTCAATGTGACAATGGGAACTCCTCCTCAGTCTCTGAGGCTGCACTTGGATACTGGTAGTAGTGACCTGTGGGTAAATACCGCCGGTTCTTCGTTGTGCTCGAAGAAGTCGAGCCCGTGTTCTTTTGCGGGAACTTACGATGCCAACGCTTCCTCGACCTACGAGTATATCGGCAGCTACTTCGATATCTCTTATGTCGACGGTAGCGGTGCCAGCGGGGACTATGTTACGGATAACATTACATTTGCTGGCATCACTGTGGATAGTCTTCAATTTGGCATTGGATACACAAGCTCGTCGTCGGAAGGTATCTTGGGAATCGGGTATCCGGCCAGCGAGGTACAAGTTGGAAGAGCGAAACTGGCCTCTTACGATAACCTGCCCGCCAAACTGGTTACCGACGGCACCATCCAGTCCAATGCATACAGCTTGTGGCTTAACGATCTGGATGCAAGCACTGGTAGCATTCTCTTTGGCGGTGTAGACACTGCACACTACACAGGATCGCTCCAAACCCTGCCCATTCAGACTTCCTCGTCCGTCAACTCGACGTTTGTCATTACGCTGACTAGCGTCACGCTTGACAATACAACTATTGCAGATGAACAAGCGCTTCCGGTGATCCTTGACTCCGGCTCATCGCTGACTTACCTGCCCGACGACTGGGTTAGTCAAATCTACACCCAAGTAAACGGCGTGTACGATGATAATGAAGGCGCCGCCTACGTGCCCTGTTCACTCGCCGACTCAGCCATGACTCTCGATTTCAACTTCACCTCGCCCGTTATCTCGGTAACCATGCGCGAGCTGGTGCTTGATGTCGTCGCCGCAGGTAGCAGAAACCCGACATTCACTAACGGGGAGGCCGCTTGCGTCTTTGGTATTGCCCCCACGGGGGATTTGCCGAGTACTTTGGGTGATACGTTTTTACGATCGGCGTACGTTGTCTACGACATCGCGAATAGCGAGATCTCCCTAGCACAAACCGTCTTCAACACAACGGATTCCAACATTGTGGAAATTGGCACTGGGACAAACTCAGTTCCAGACGCAACCGCTGTGTCGAACGCTGTATCGGCAACATTCACAGCTCAGAGCAGCACCAGCAGCAGTACCAGTAGCATAAATGTGGACAAATCGAGTGCCGCCGCACCACCACTGCCCATGTCTTGGGAACTGCTCGCTGTCCTCATCGGTGTGGGTGCTCTCTTCACCTTGTTGTAAAAAAAAAAAATTTCCATGAATTGGACGCAACCATAGGGTCGATATCTACTATGGGATAACGATGGGTCAACTAACCCTGTATATTGTACAAATTATTTTGTGATTTATTTGAGCATGGCGCGGCGTTATGGCTATGGACATGGCGATGACATTACGGCTGGTTACGGCATTGCATGAGAGGGAGATATCAATGTGCTATCTGTGGCAGCAGGTTCAGTACGGCAAGATGGCACCATTTTACGCGGGAAAATATAGTTCGGGCTTCACGGTCACATTGATTCGGGTTGGCAGATAACATACATACCTAAGTAGATAGAAGAGAGGGGGTGATCAGGGAATTGAATAGGACACGCTCACATGTGTGCCATTTGTTGACTTGACTCTTATTCACCATTTCCACACCAGGTTGGCCCCATCGCTTGCACCCTGTGATTCGAGCTTTGCATTGCCGACACGACCTTGTGCTGAGGGAGTATTGTGAAATATTAACTCAGCCCCGGCTGCCACTTCTCGATTGGGAGGGAATAGTGCCACTGAACCATCGTGAATGCAAATCCCCCCATCCGAGTGAACCCACAAAGGTGAGCTCCTCTTACAACCGGGATGTGGGCCAGCACCCGGTCAGAAACCACGCGGAGCTTGCCCAACAAAACCCAGTTTCAGGCGCGGGATGACAAGTGCACCAAGATCCATCATGGCGGCAGCAGTCTCCTTCGCGATTCAAAACATTGTTCGGCGGGTGACGATTGCCAGTTTCGAACTATGTATCTAATACAGTATGGGTCATAGACTGTTCTTACATGATGAACAGCTTTTGCGTAATCCTGGCCGCCCCAAGCGCCTTTCTGAAAGAGTATGTAATGGTAAAGGTAAATGACTTTTCAGGAAAAATTGAGACTTGCTTTTGGATTATTGTTGCGCCACCCTACAGGATGCCGTTGGTCTAACCAGCGCAGGTGAGGTGCTGAAGCAAAAGAAGTCCTAACGTTATTAGCGGGTTGGTGTTCAAACGTTATTAGTGGATCATCCCGAAGCAGTGAGGCAGTCCGGGCAAACAGGGGCAAAGAAGAATCGACGAGGGCACCCTGGCATATTGGGCACGGCCTAGAACCCTGACTGCATGTGCGTATGGTATATGCTTAGAAGCCATTGGCCATATGCCAAAAGTCACAGCGATCTGTTTTTTAGAAGAGGCTGAAGCGAGGCACGAATATTGGTCAAGAACCCTGGTGAGATGCGCAAGTTACGCCTGCGCTGACAAGGGGGAACTTATAGTGGAGATGTTCGATCACTGATGCAAGAAGTCCGCCTCAATTCTCAAAGATCTAGCGAGCAGCAAGAGACGTGCAGAGGCTGAAAAATCGTGAAGCTATTCGCGAGATGTGTAAAACAATAGGTCTAGCTGCTCTGTAAGCCCTGCGAACTGCATACCCAGGCGATATGCGTGCGCTCGGCTCTTAATACTACTTGTTATGGGCAATTTCCTACGCGAAGCCTCCGCTTTTCCAATAGTAAGATTGAAAAGGGTAAAAAGAACAAGTGTGTAAGGGCATACGGCATGCCCGTTCGTCCCTGTCGGGCTGCGGTTCCGCAGTTTTATCTTTCCGAGAAGGTACTTTCAAGCAATAGATCGCTTGTGGAGACGACCAGCCATGGCACATCGTCGTGAGGTGTCATCGCCTCTTTGAAATTAACTGGATGGGTGATTACAACGTAACCAGGCGCGGATGGATTGAAACAAAATCACGCGATAATCGCCAGTGTTTTCCTTGTTTTAGCGCAGTACTATTGGATGTGGCGGATGTAAACGTAGCAAGCCGTAGGTGCATGTCCTTGTCTGTTGCTATTGTCATGGATGGCATGTGCATGGGCATGAATCAGCTTACAGAACACAGGAGTATCATATTTGGTAGAATGCAAAATATTACAAAAGTTCTTGGGATATGCAATCAACCTAGTGCCGAATCGAAGTATGAACTGTGCAGGGAACGTTAACTGGAGTGTCTTTTTTTTTTTTTTTTTTTTGGGGGGGGGGGGGGGGGGTTTTCTGAGGCTCCGCATTTGGCGTATGCATATGTTTTTTCAGATTTAAATTTAGCGTATAGATCGAAGTAAGCGGCCGATCTCCCATCCAATAAATCAGCCCTTATAGCACAGTGGTAGTGCGCAGCACTTGTAATGCTGAGGTCCTCGGTTCAATCCCGAGTGGGGGCACAATTCAACGTTTACTTTTTGGCCTTCTCGCTCCCTTCATTCGACTTTCTCTTCACTTACAAGAAGATATCACACAAATTTCTTTTTCTTTCTGTTTTTCTTTTGTTGGGTTCTTTTCTTGATGTCAACTCCTTTTGCAATAACCCCCAAGTATTCGTTTATGTTATCTATAAGCTAAACATCACTATTACATCTTTTTCTTAACATGGCGTCACCCATCACTGTGTGTCCGTATGTTCACTGGTAGGACCCAGTCCGGTCCCAGAATGTCTAGTTTATTTCAATTTCTTATTAATTTTTGGAATATTAAGTTCAAGCGAGCTTGACATTATCCTACCCAAGCCCAACAGAACCCATCGGCTTGGCTCTATTGATTGGTTATACTTCTTCAAACGGGGCTCTGTGACCAACTCGTTCTTGGTCCTCGTGTTTTATACGCAAAGGAATTGAGAAACGAGGTTCTCTTGCGGCTTGCGTGTAGCGGTTCAGGTTTGTCCAGGTCCTCCTCATCTTCACTCCAGTGCCCTCCGTATGCTGCCTCGGGCTGCTCTATAGTAGATGGGATGTGATCTTCTAGTCCCGGTACGAAGCTCAATCTCTGGTTTGGCCGCTTGGTCCATCCGCCCTCCGATTCTTTGTATGCCTCGCGCGGTGCATGCGGGTTGTTATTCCGTGAAGTGACAGCTGTAACAAACATTCTTCGACCTCCCTCCCCGTCGGCGTCGGCTTCCTTACCACCCTGCTCGCCATCCTCCTGGTCGGGGATTGCCTCCTCTAGGCGCATTACAACCTCAACGGCTTTCTCGTCCTCGATGACCTTCGGGTGCCGCTTAGCAAAATACCGGGCGTATTTGTACAGCGACCAGTAACAGCTGCCAACATTGATAAGGGTAAGGACGAATTTATATGGCATCTGACAAATTTATTAGCACAGAAACCGTATTATCTTTAATATGAGGTGATATCCAACAACTTACATAGTATACAAGGAGCATTGTCCAACCGAGGCGCTCCTTTCTCAGTCGCAGGTGGACTTCGTTGAAAATGATAACATTGATGAGATATAAACCAATAGTTGCGGCAAGTAGATAACCACAAAAGTCTGGCCTGACATAGAATGAAATGGGTAGAATGAATGGCGTGAATAAATATAATAGGGTTTCGTAAACCTACATAGCAAGTTTATGTTAGTAACCAAACTTTGGTCTTCAGAGGAGATATTTGTGTCGTCATAGTGAAAGAAAACCTACCTCTTGGAAGACGAATAGTTTTGCACCGAGCTCCCACCAGCCAAGCTTCCAGCTGCAAAATATGTAATGTAGGTTGTACCACATTCCATTGACGAAGAAGAAGTTCCATCTTAAAAATCGCTGCTTGAAAACAGTCATCTCGCCAAAGCCTCCACGGCTCCCTCCGCTGCTGAAGAACACCGCATCGGGGGTCTCGGTCTCGACGAAGACGGATGTACACATCTTAATGCGGCCGCCGAGACGCCGACAACTGTGGCCGAAAAACCAATCCTCCGAAACAGAGAAGCCCGGATGATCGTGGAACGTCTTGATCAAAAACTTGCGGTTCCACAGGGAGATGGCACCATGGGGGAATGTGGCGCTGCCCATCTTGCCGGCCAGAGCGCGCTGGAGACCGGAGATCTTGTACTCAAGGTCCTGGGCTTGCTGGCACCAGCTGCCCTTTGAAGAATTAGGACCGACGCTCTTGATGGTGTAGCCGATGCTCTTGACTTTGCCAGAAAGCCTCTCGCTGACTACGGGAAAGTTAGGCGGCAGAGCGCAGTCATCATCAATGAGCAGCACGTTCTTGAAACCCTTGGCGGCGTAGCATCCCACAAATTGAGCCACGATCTTAGAGCCAACGGGCGACCAGATGTGGTTGACACCATACGGGCGGCAGACTTCCTCGGTATTGTCCAAGGGCGTTTCGGAGTTACCGTTGGCAATAACAAAGATGTGGGAAGCCGGGAAGACCTTAAGCGCAGCGTCTAGAGTTGGCCCGATGATGTTGGCCGACTTGTAGCATGGGATAAGCAAAGCAGTCGTTGCCACGCCGGGAATTTCATTGCGGTCAAAGTCGGCAGCTCGCTCGATCATGGGTGGCTCTTTTTCAAACAAGATGAGCAATGGTCCAAAAGCATAACTATACAGAGTTTTGGTCAGCGGGGTAACAATGCCATGGTACAATGCCATAGTACTTACAAGAAGGCTATACCCAGAGTGATGGACCAGCCACCGGTGATCACGAACTTGTTTTGCACGACCCAATAGAGCCAGTACACAGCACCGCGCCACAGCGGCATGCCAATCAGGACGAAGTAAATAAAGGACAGTAAGAGCACGTAGATGGAATACTCGAACAAGATCTGAACCCAACGCTTCCGTTCAAGTTCAACACCCCGTGTCTTGGCCTTCTCATAGACCTCATGGATACTGTTCCTACGCACCCGATTGACGACATTGCGGGCAGTTTGCTGGACGGCATCAGGAACCACAGCATTGACGATGGTACGTACGGTACCCGAGCGCTGTGGAACCTGGTGGTCGTATGAATAAGTAGAAGAGGCATCCGAGGCAGTGTTATAAGACGAGAAACTGCTCTGGGGCTCGTGCTTATAAGGCGAACGGGGCGGTACAAAAGAGACACGCTTGGGGGCGCTTGGCTTGGACTTGGTAAGGTCATCCAAAGTTGTAAGACATGAACTCCTCACGCTGAAAGCTTCTTGCAACGTGATGGGATCACTGGTCTTACGTGGCCGCTTGATCGTTGCTACCGTTGGCGAAATTGGGCCGTCCAAGATGGCTGATCCAATAACACTTAGAGGACGCCGAGGGTTACGAATAGCTTCCTGAACAGGACCGTCGCTCTCCAGAACCTCTTCCCCACGACGGCGCGGCGACCACTCGGCGTTCTTCTTCGTGGTCGATAGGAGGCGTTTGGGGATGACCACATCAGCCACTTTGACCGAATTTGCTCGCTGTAAACCCATCTCTGCTCTTCTCTTGAATATTGTTAAGTTGATGTAAATTAGTAGTTCATTATGATTAACGAGAGACAGATAACCTTCGAAGGTCAGAAACGAATGACAACCATATAGTGGCTTACACAGAGAATGAAAGGAAAGCCTAGATTAGACCAAGGACCTTGAAGCCTTCAAAAGAGAAAGGGAAAAAAAATTATATCTTCGTCACATCCGGGGAGCCCCTTACGGTGCGGGCCCAGTTCAGATTTTATTATTCTCTTGCCTCGCACATAGCCCGCTCGCTAACTACCTAGAACAAGCCTGGGCAATTGTGTTCATCTTATCCATGTCATCGTGTAGGAGCCGTATGGCGAATATGATCAATTAGTGGTTCGGTTTGTCATGAAAAACACTACGACGGGGCCCGCCACAGGGTGGGATAGGAAACCTTTGACCAGGCTGTCCCTGGCTGTCCCCATGCCCACGTCAGGGCTCTGCGTATTGTATATTGCACGAAACGAGGCTAGAAAGGCGCAGATTCGTCAACATCGGGGGTTGACTGTGCCACGCTCTCTGGGTGTGCTCTATGGGGCCATGAGGGGAGTCCACACAACGTGGCAGCGGTGATTCTTCCCGCTAGCAAGGCAGGGCCGGATACCTGGTACTTTAAGAAGCCCTCCTAACTGCTGACGGGAGCAGTATCCCTGGCGGATGTTGAGCCAGGTTGAGGTAGTAGGCGAGACTGCACCAGGGCTCCATGTTACGGTGCCTGTGACGCAAGTTTTCAGACGGGCGGCTCAACTGAGCAAAATTCCACCTGGAGCAGGCGAAAGCTCCACCTGGTTCTCCATTAGCATTGGGAGTCTGCCGGTGGAGGAGGAGGAGGAAAAGTTTATTCTCTGTTGCCCACCTCCACTACAGTCCCATTGGAACTGGAGAGACGAATTTCCCATACGCTCGGCGGTGTACAAGTCTCAGGTACATGCCATATTTCAGGGCGTGAGCAGCCCGCAGGAACTGAAGCTACCGTATTACGTATAGTGTCGCTTTGAGACTAGGATCCCGTTCGCAACGTTCTGGCTTGCAGCCGTTAGAGATCCACCCACTGGCTCTCTAGACATTAGCCGTTTAAAGCAATTGCTTAGACTTCAAATTTGTTCAGGCGAAGCTTTGGCCTTTTCTGCGAAGGGGAGTTTCTTTCCCTTTAATGCTGCTACTGTGTACATACGTACATCAGCACAGGGACCGGGAGCTCTGATAAAAATGGATGTCCTCAAAAAAAAAAAAGTTGCTCTACGTCAGCGTTCTTGCTTGGCAAAAGCTACCGTCATAAATTGTGCGGGTATCCACCTCCATCTCCCAAGCTGTCATGCGAAAGCATTCCTGGAATTATCAATAACATGAAGGAAACCTGATACACATATACATGTATGAAATGAAATATATATGTATACATAAAGTCAAGCATTTCTAAAAGCGACCATCGTCTCCCGCTGTCTTGTTCATGTAGAAAGAGATGTTAAAAATGATATTCCCAGATGTTGAAGTGCCAAGGGATTTCCCACCTTGTTGCGGCTATTCGAGCCCATGGCGTGAGTATCTGGCAAGCTTGCGTATTGTACTAGGGTAGGCAGGGGTATTGGAATACAGTAGAAGCAGCAGTTGTGCAACATATTCCCTGCCTAATAAACAGCCGTTTCAACCTAAAAGAGCGAGTGGATATACATCCGGGTGGAAATCCCGCTCAGATTTACAGTACAACGTACTAGCCTGGTTCAAGCTGCTATAACAGAAATGCTACCTTTGGGAAAATTTTACACTGCCACTGCACTCCCTGCCCATCAACTCGGGTTGAAAAATGCAGACTTGGGTGGATCAGGGGGGTGGGTTGTTTATCTCCCATTCTAAAAATTTCAGAAAAAGTTTTCTCTCTTGCTCATATGGAGTGTTAGTAGTCTCAACGCCTTGCTAACCATTGGAATACGAGCAAAACCAGTCGTAACGTTTTGATGCTTGTAATAGTGTC